TCGTAGGAAGAGTCCGAATACAAAGACAGTAATGTACGTCCCTGCCTGGTATGTTCATAAACAGACATCGCGACAGATCTTAAGTTTGGGTAGTTTAGATGCTTGCGGCCGTGACTAGTGTCGGCATTGAAGTCAAAACTTGAAAATAATTGTTCATGAGATTGCATATATTCGAAATAGATGATACAATCTAGATCTATCATATGCAAGCACAAAGAAGTGTAAACATGATAACAGACAGATATACCGACTCAGCTCCCGACAAACACACAGTCTCCTTCACTCTTCCCCCTCAACCCCTGGGGGCACTCTTTCCACACCAAACCACCACAGCCGCCTCCAGCTCCATAAGCGAACCTGATCTATCCAAGCATATTCGCATCAACAACGCTTCTGCCGAAGCCGCAGTCGATCCAAATCACTTACATGCAGACAGGCCGCCGTCCAAATCGCCAAGCCGTCGTCTGTCGAAATAATGGTAGAATGGTCGAAGTAAGGGATACAATGTTCGTGGGGTATCAGTGTAAGAATCGTGAAGAACTTTTGCCGTATCCGTTGATGACTCGTGAATGCGTGAGATATGCCGATATGATGCTGAGATTGGCCAGGAAAACGATTGTGATGAAATGACAAACTAAGGGAAGGCATGGAAATGCATGCCTGGTAAGCCAGTGGTCGCCGCGATGTTACTCGATGGTGGACCTCTGGCGAAGCTCACAGTCGTCTAAGCGACAGTAGCGGTAGGAGCAGCGGCCGGGACGGGTGCAGCAGCGACAGGGGCAGCGGTGGCATCGCCGTTGACCTCAGCCTGTGTGCAGTCGCGGGAGATGTGACCGGTCTCGCCGCAGCGGTAGCAAGTCTTGCCGGCAGTGTTCAATGGGCCACCGTTAGGAGCAGTGCAATCGCGCGAGATGTGCCCTGGTTTGGTCAGAAGTTGTAATTAGGAACGCGCTCAGTTTACTCACCAAGCTTGCCGCAGGCGTAGCACTTCATGGCTTGGGCCTGGCAATCACGGGCAAAGTGGTTGGGTCCACCGCACTTGTAGCAGGTGGCCGGGCGAGCGCCGCCAGCGAAGCCGCCACGGAAACCTCCTCCGTATCCGCCACGGGGAGCACCAGCGCCGCGACCCATTCCAGGGTTGGGGCAGTTGCGGGCAAGGTGGCCGGCGATACCGCAGCTGTAGCAACGTCCACTAGTGCCGGCTCCGCTCAGGCGCAGAGTTGGGCAGTCAGCCTGGACGTGTCCGAGACCCTGGCAGTGGTAGCACTGCTTGGCTGTTCCTTTGTCAGTCCTTCATTCTCTGGATGTATGGCCGCCTGTGTTCTCGACATGCGCCAGGACTCGGGGTGACGTACTCTCGGTGGTGCGTGGGTGTGGGCATCCGTTGGACTCGTGGCCTGGCTGCTTGCCTGTGCAAAGGTTAGTCGATAGTCGCAAGTGGTGGTCAGGTGTGGTCTTACAGTTGTAGCAAAGCCTCTCAGAAGAAGAGCAGACCTCTGCGCATTGTTGTTAGTCGCGGTTTATGATACAGACTGCCCCATCGCTCGGGGTAACGCGATGCAGACACCGCGGTCAGAGACGATGTTCGCGATACGTGTCCCGACAATGCGACTGCAGCGCGCGCCCCGAGCAGATGCGCGGATATCGCTTACCGGCGTAGTGGCCAACGTTTCCGCACTTGAAGCACGCACGACGGGATAGAGAAGACATGATGATGTTCCTCTGCGTATTTCTGGGCAGCGAATAAGTATATAGTCGGTGGTTGTGTGAGCAGCGAGGAGGAGTGGATCGCGAATGAGGGGCGGTTGGTGGTGTGTTTGCTGCGACGTGTGCTTTGATCCTCTGGTTTGCTCGAGGGAATGCGCGCCGAACAGCAGGAGTGATAGGCGCACGTACCTGCTTCGTTTACTTCTTCAATTTCTTCACCTGCGTTCGCCAGTCAGTCGCAGATTTTTCGAGGGGCTGTTGTCGAGGGGTAAAGACTGCGGACGGAGCACGCGCCAGGGCGGAACCTCGCGCGCACCCTCGAGACGGAGGAATCCTCGGCAGGCGCAACCTACTTTCTTTCAACTTTCCAGACCTTCTTCCCGCTGCAACACTTCTTCAACCTCCTGCCAGTGTAATTGTGGTGAGAGAATGAGGGGATCGTAGAATGTTCGGGCAACGGGCAAAATGCATCTCCCATGACGGTGGTCCCTGCTCCGTGCGCTAGCGAAATGCGCAATCTGGTTCTTCCCGAGGTCGAAAGTGCGTCCCAAACGGCCCCCAATTGCATCATGCGACGTTTCAAACGACTGCAACCTTACCCTCTTCACCCTAGACGACTTCTGTCTCCTATCCTCGTGCAGCAAAGGCGCTTTCCTCATGCCGTCGGCCCCTGACCTATCTTTTCCAGTTCCTCCGCTGCTGCCGCCAGCTCGAGAACTATGTTTCTGCCCCGCTTCATGACACCATGGCTGCAGTCGCATGTCTGGAGCTAGGACGCAAAGTTAGCTTCTCCACAAGTCAGTTAGTAATCACCCTTTGGGAGATCCAGATATGTCAGAGGCGCCGAAGAGGCAAGTGGCCGATATATTCATAAGTATTCGTGTCTATGTATTATTCAACGCCAACAGTAGTGGAGCTTCTGTTGTAAGAGTGGGTGGCCATATTCCTTACTCTACTGTGTCGTTCCGAAGAGAAGGTCTCGGGGCGTTTGCACGTTGCATCGAGATTTGTAGGTCTTCTAGTCTTCAGACTCGATGACCGCAGGTGCCTTAATTGTCCTGCTCTTGAGGAAGTCAAGGCCTTCGCCACCCTGTTTTCGATTAGCATATAGTCTCATATCTCAAACAGCCTCGAGAACTTACGTAGGAGATCAATGGTGAAACTTCGACGTAGGAGTCGGAGTCCTCGCTAACGACAGTCGCACCAGCGGCTTGCACCCATTTCCTGCCCTGGGTCATGATGTCCGCCTTGCTGGTATCCGGGTCGTCTTCACCAGTACCGCGAGCGTTCTTCAAGGGCGAGAACTCGTCCTCACGCTTCACTTCCATGCAGGCAAACTTCTCCAGAGTCAAGAAGGGGAAGCAGTCAAAGACAAACTGCTCCAGCTTGATGCCATTTGGCTTCTCTGGCTTGACTGTCTCTCCGGTCTCGGTGTTGACGAAAGGAATCTTCTTGCGGGCGACGTGGTGAGGCAGCTTCTTTGCCCACTCTGGGATGCTCTCAAGGAACTTGTATGAGTAGTAGTGGTTGACAATGTTGGCAGCTCGGAACTTGAGTAGGCTGGAGTCCTTGGAGTCCTTGGCCTCTGCGTCTTCGCTGGAGATTTCCGAGTATTCGACAACGTCTGGCTTGCCGTTCTTCTGCAGGATAAGTCCGACAGACTCCTTGGCGTTGCGCTTGCGGACGACCTTGGTAGCGATGTCAACGTTCTTTGAGGCGGAGAAACCGATGAAGACGGGGTCGGCGACCTTGACGAGGCAGTTGTCGACGCAGTATGCGTGGATGTGCTGGATGCCGCGCTTGCCCATGTCTTGCACGACGCCGGACTGGATGAGAGCTTGGTAGAGACCGCCATTGCCGTCGGGTGCGACGGCGACCTAGTCATTCTTAGTATGTTGTCCTGGTTCTGCAGCATCCAGAATGAGAGCGGACGTACCTTTGACTTGCTCTCCAACAGGATCTTGCCCTCGTTCGAGATGCATGGCAGGACACCCTGCTCGAAGATGACGACGTTCTCCTTCTTCAGGCCAAAGTAGTTGTGCTTCTCGAAGAAGTCGGCGGTAGGGCCGCGAGTAGGACCGCTGGTCATGACGTACCATGGAATGGTTACGCTCTCCTTGTTGTGCTTCTTGGCGGCCAACATCTCGGCCTTCCTGATCCTCTCACCCTGCAGTTGGAACAGGCTCTTCTTGCTAGGAAGGCCAATGTCGAAGCATCCCTTGGGCGCTGAGCTGCCCAGACGGGTGCCCTGACCACCAGCCATGAGCACAACCGCGACCTTGTTCTCGGCGATCAGGTCCAGTCCGCTGTCGTACCACTTGTCGAGGTCCTCCTGGGAGGACGAGAGGACAGATGATGTGGCATTCTCGGGGAGGGGCTCGAGCTTGTTCTCGCTGGCTTCAGTCTCGGCGGGGTGAAGGGCTCGCTCGGTGATCTCGTTGATGTAGTCGGGGCTGAAGTTGCTCAGCTGCTCGAAGAGGGTCGCCTTCTCGGCTGTGGAGAGCTTGTCGTAGAAGGCCTAAATGCGTCTATCAGCAAAGATGCATGTGATGAGCACAAGTCCTGGGGCACGTCGCGGGGTTGAGCAAGCCATGCAGTGCTCACACAGTCCAGCGAGGTGCTCCCAGACTTGCAACACCAACGCCCGGGCTGCACTTACAAAAACCTGCTCTTGGCCAGCCTTCTGGTACTTGGCCTTGAGCTCATTCAGCTGCTCCTCTGTTGGCTCCTTCGCCGGTGTGCCCTGAGGTGCGCCCCCAGTGATGTTGAGCTTCTCGAGCGCGCTGTTGACGGTATCCTTAATGGCGTCCATGGTGATGCGGGGTATTGGCGGGGTAATTCGTGCAATGCAGAAAGGTGTTGCAATTGATCTCGAAGGTGTATGCTTGATATAGACACTGAATTCGTGGAAAGGTACAGTTTTGCTGGCTCACCGCGTCCTTATGAAGATTCGACTGCAGCATAGCACTGACGCCTCGTGTTGCCCCACTCGGCGTGCGTCCCTGCTGCACATGGGTGCGATCGAGCCTCCCGAGATCGTCAGCGCCCGCGTCACTAATTTTAGACCTGTTGTGTACCCTTCGTATTTCATGAGCTGCGACTACATCGTAAAGCTAGCAGTATGGCCAGTCGCTTAATGCCATTCGTAACTACACAATCCCAACCAGAAGCCTCTAGCTGAGCAAACAACGAGCAAAATATATGCCGCTTCAGCGCAATGCTTAACACCAGGCCATCCAAAAAGCAAGCCATATGCAACTCCCGCAACGCCATGACGTCGTGTAACCATCTTACTAATGTCCGTTGACCTCCGCCTTCTCAGGCTCAGCAGGCTTGAGCGCTTTCTGCGGCGCTGGGTTCAGTATGCGAGTGGCGTCGATCAAGCCGGCGTTGGGGTTCAGCTTAAGACCAAAGCCTGGAAGGTCGAGAGTCTTGACGTCGAGATATCCCTTGGTGGGAATTGGCTCGTTGGTGAAGCTGCACAGTATTAGCACAACACTTTGCGCACGCGGAAGGGAAACTTACAGGTTGCCGAACACGGGCAACACAGACTTGCCATCCGGTGAGTTCGCGAGGTACTCCTGGAAAGGCGAGTTGGCCTGAGAAACGACGAAATGGTACGAGTATGGTCCACTGGCGTGAGGAACAACGGGAATATCGTAGGCAGCAGCCATGGCCGAGATCTTGATAAGCTCAGTCATACCGCCAACCCACATAACATCGGGTTGGAGAATGTCCAGGTTGCGGCCCTCGATGAGTTTCCTGAAGCCATATCGTGAGTACTCGTGTTCGCCAGTGGTGAATTTCATGCGGGGGTGAGCGCGCTTGATCTGCTCAAAGCCATCTGAGTCGTCAGGCGACAAGCACTCTTCCCACCAGTTCAAGTTGAGGTGCTCGGTGGCCTTGACCACTTCGATGGTGTAGGGTACGTTCAAGCTCATGTAGCAGTCGACCATGAGGGGAAAGTCTGGCCCCACGCTTTCGCGATGCTTGGTAAGGAACTCGACATTCTTCTTCAAGCCTTCGACACCCTCACCAGGGCCGTATGGTAGTGGTACCTTGGCGCCGAAAAAGCCCATTTCCTTTGCCGCCGCTGGCTCGGGACCAGTGCAGTAGAAGTTGAGCCTTTCCCGGGTCGCTCCACCGAGCATCTTGTATACGGGCTCGTTGCGGATGTGGCCGAGCAGATCCCAAATAGCAAGATCGATGACTGAGATGACGGCGACCGGAAGACCCTTGCGGCCGTAGAACATGGACGCACGGTACATTTGCTCGAACATGTGGTTTGTGTCTCTGGGATCTAGCTTGGATCAGAATGAAGACTCGTAGCGTCGCACAACTGGATACTCACCTTGGCCTATTAAGAAGCGCTCAAAGTGCTCAGCGACTAGCCAGCACGCTGGCGGCCCGCCAAAGCCAGTAGCGAAACCCTTGGTGCCGTCACTGGCCTCGAGCTCTACACAGAAAGATCCCAGAACATTGATTCCCCAGCTAGTTCTTGACTTTCGGTACTGCTCATATCCGCTCATGGGGGTGGAGATCTTGCTGTCGATGAGCCAATGTCCGCCAGCGACATTATGGTAGTCTCCGCCGCTGCCGGGGCCCTGTGTTATGAATGTTCGCACGTGTTTGATGGTCGGGAAGGAGCGCGCTGCGCCAGATTCTTCGGTGGAGGGCATGATCACGTTAGGGAGAGGAGTGTGGAATCGACAAAGCAGAAGACCACAGAGTATAGAGGAGGGGTAGATAAGTGCACGGAGGGTCAGAAATGATATTTAAACCGCGGAATAGCGGCGTGCCAGGCTTCGCGTCTGCTCAAGAGGGTCCCTCGGTCCATCTCGCTGCGATTTGCGACGATTTGCGACGACTTTGGAAGAGCCATTGATACCTGGGCTAAGAAGTGGAGCGCGAACGCGTGAATAGGCGTCGCTGTGAGGCGTTCGGCACCCAGGTCGGAATGTGGACAAGGCCGAAGCATGTGTTTTTGCTGACGAGTATTGTACCGAAAAGCCAGCGGCCCACTCGGTGCCACCAATCGAAGGATGCGGAGGGCGCGCTTGCCGGTCTATACGATTTACGATATCTGGGGTAGGGAACTAGAGCGTGCAGGCGGGGCTGCAAGAGTAGAACCCTCGGTGTAGCTCTTCCGAACCTGCACGCCCCCAATCGCATTCGCATTCATCATCATGGACGCCAGCACAACCCACCAGCAGGCGGCAAGTCCAAACGGCACTGCGAAGCTCTCCAACCACTCTCCTGGCGATGCGCAAGACTGGAGTGGTGATGAACGCTCCAGCGACGAAGAAGCCCACGACAGAAGCCAAAGCGGCACATCCAACAAGCGGAAGCGGCCGCTTTCTGTGAGTTGTGAGACATGCAGTAAGTGTGACACAACATGATGAGGCTGTTGAGGCTCACCATACGTAGAGCAGCGAAAAGTCAAATGCGACAGAGGCGCGCCTGCCTGTTCCTGGTGCTTGAAGAACCACTCAGCATGCGTCAGTTGCGCCATCCACTGACATCACCCCCAATACTCAATCGCATCAGGTCTACCTTCCGCGCAAGAAGCCCGGCCTGCGCGCTGGCTATGGACGAGAGCTTGAGTCGAGACTTGGTAAGTCGCGCATCCTCACCACCCTGTTCTGGAGTAGCCGAGGTCTGGATAAGCAGACTGAGTTGTCGCTGGCAAACTTCGCGCGCCCACAGTCACGACAGTGCCCAGGTTGGACTTGATGGAGGTCACGACTGCCGCGCAGCTTGACTAAGCGGGCGCTCCTTCTGTCCGCCAGCCAGAGACCCTACAGGGCACTCGCGACCACAGCTGACAATCGTCCCTTCCTCAGACAAGCTCGAAGCGCTCCTCGTCCAGCAGCAGTCGCAAATCAACCATCTCTCCAGCACCCAGGTCGCCACGTCCGGCCCGTCACCGCAAGAGGTAGCCGCGTTCCGAAGCCCGCCCGTCATCCAAACCCCCCATATACCGCGTCCCGAAACGGCCCTCTTCATTCAGAAGCCCACCTTCCCTTCGCAGAGCGCAATACAGAACCAATATGGCAACGGCGTCACGGACAATAGACCTACCCCCTCGGTCACAGGGAACGGCTACCAGTCCGAGGATGTGAGCATGAGCGGCGGCTTGTCCAGAGATGGCTACACACCATACAATGAGCAATACCAGCCGGCCATATCGAGAACTCTCGGCCACGCGGATGCCGACTTTCCACCGTATGACCTTCTGTATGGCCTCGTCGATCTTTTCTTCAAGCACATCAACACCTGGTGCCCCATCCTCCACCGCCAGAGCACGCTGAACTCGCTTTTCGGAGACGCGACGCTAGAAGAGGCGGATAGAATCATACTACACGCAGTTGTCGCAACGACTGTCAAGTTCTCTACCGACCAGCGCTTGACTGCCGAGAAGCGCACGCGCTACCATAAGAACTCCAAAGAGAAGGTCCTGCTGTATGGCATCGAGAACAGCTCTGTAAAGTCGTTGCAGGCGCTTGTGATCCTCGCTCTGGACGTCGTTGGCTGCTCCAATGGCCCTCCCGGCTGGAACCTTCTGGCTCTTATCACGCGCTCAGTCGTCCAGCTAGGATTGTCGGTCGAAAGCTACTCACCGAGCGTCGCTCCTCAATTTGCGTCAATATACACCTTGCGCGCCATGACGCTGCCTGAGCCCAAGGACTGGATCGAAGAAGAGAGCCGACGCCGCCTGTTCTGGATGATCTACGTCCTAGACCGGTACGCGACCGTTGCCACGGCTTTCGAATTCGCTCTCGACGAAAAGGAGATTGACCGTCGGTTGCCGTGTCGCGACGACATGTATGCGCGAAACGTGCCCGTCGAGACGCGATGGTTCCACACTTCGACAAGATCTGACTACAGCATGAATAGACCAGAAAACCTGGGCTCCTTCTCATACTACGTCGAAGTCCTGGGGATTCTCACACGCATCCACAAATTCCTCAAGAAGCCTGTAGACATTACATCCTTGTCCGACGTTGAGACCTGGCAGAGCGAGTATCGTGAGCTTGACAATGCCATCGAGCAATGGAAGTACAATCTTCCTCAAGAATTTGGCAACTCTGCGAGATTGTTTGCAAAGGCGGGCATGGGACAGAATTTGGACAGTGGTTTGGTGATGCTCCACGCGGCCTTCCACACGTAAGTTTGTCTTCCCTTTGCCTTAAGGAAGAAACTAACTCTGGCAGCACTGTGATTCGTCTTCACTCATCCGCGGCCTACCCTACCCATCGTTCACCCATCTTCACACCGTCCTTCAGCGCTAGCCAGCGATGTCTCAGTGCTGTTGAGAATATCACAGCCCTTTGTGCTACCGTACGCGACAACGGTTTGCTGAGCAAACTTGGCCCGCCCTTCGCATTCTCGCTCTGGGTAGCCGCACGTGTTCTCTTGGTCCACGGATCCACCATCGATCACCGAGTCGATCAATCCATCAACCTCCTGGTCAGCACTCTCCAGGACATGGGTCAGTACTGGGAAGTAGGCACGCGCTATGCAAGTCTTCTTTCACGCGTACTTTCCGAATATCAAGAGAGCCAGGACACCCCCGCTGGTGCGAATGGTGAACGCGTGACACCTTCAACCGTCAAGATCCTCGCCGACATGCGACGATGTGCATTCGATCTCGACTTCCTCATATCCCGTCAACCTAAGCTCAGCAACAAACAAAATCTGAAGATTCCATCGGTGACTCCAGCTCGAACACCTGCAGCGAATGAGCTAGAGTATCTCGATGTGTTCGACTTCTTCAACATGCCTCGACTCCCTGTGTCGATAGACGGAGCCATGAGTTACCCTGCGCCAGACGGCAATATACAATTACCGGACGGCGGGTTTGGAAACGAGTCGAACATTACCAATTATATGGTCGATGCGAGCTCAGATTGGTTTATGAAGCAGTCGGCATAATATCTCTTTTTGTGTCTTGGGTGCACGGAAAATGGACTGTAAAAGTTGGTTGATCTTTCGGTACATAATATTGCATTTCGGACCCTGTTCATAGTTTTGTCCATACAATCTCTTCTTATTTTGAATGATACCCTATTTTATCCCTAATAGACTCGGCTGTCTTATCACCAGTGATCCATACATGTGATGAATCCAAGCAGCTCGATGGTCAGGGCCGTACCTGGGCGTGGCTTGTCGTGTACGCTTGTCCGGAACCGCTCATTCCGATCGGAACGCCATCGGTGCGTTATCTGCATCCTCGCTCGACCTCTGTAATCGACACTTGACAACACTTTTCGCTGGTCAAGCATTACTGTCCTCTCATCTATTGTAGTCTACGCAATTGTTTACATGCCCCATCAAACTGGCGTCGATTTGCTTTTCGTACAATACCTTGTAGAAGACAGTCGCCGTTTGCCGTCGGAATAGGCTGGTGAGACTCGGGATAGCGTACAAGGTATGGGTGAATCTTACTCCGCTGTACCGAATATATGATAGAAATGAGTCATTGACATACATGTAGCTTCGTATATAGCTTCGTGCAACGCTTGAGCATTTGATACTCAAACTAGGTTCAACGCAGGACTCGCACTTCGGCCTGGATATCATCGAAGGATCCCGTCTTCGACAACTTCAAATATCTCCCATATCGAAGCCATCTATCATTACTCAATCACCCATCATGGCTTCCCAAAAAGACCAACAACACATCCTGATTCTCGGCGCCGGCGTAATCGGTCTAACAACCTCACTCGTCCTATCCCACACGTACCCCACCGCCAAGATAACCGTAGTAGCAAAGCACTTCCCCGGAGACCGCTCCATAGAATACACATCGCCCTGGGCCGGTGCCAACTGGTCCTCCATGGCCCACGACAACGGGCCGCTGGAGAAGTACGACGAGGTCACCTTCCGCCGTTTCGGTGAGCTTATCGACGGGAAGAGCGTGTTTGGATGCCAGGCGCTGAAGGCTGGTGAGACGGAAGGCGTCGATGGGGTAAATGGAGGAGGGAATGAAGCGGGGCTGGGGAGAATGGGTATGTGGGCTGCGTTCGACGAGCCGATTGAAGAGGCGGGTGTTTTGACTGAGGAGACGGGTAGAGTGTGGTATGATGAGTTAGTCGGGGGTTTGAGGAAGTTGGGTGGAAGTGAGCTGCCCAAGGGAGCGAACTTTGGGTTTGAGTTCCCAAGTACGTTCAGGATCAACACACAGGTCTATCTGCAGTGGTATGTTGTCCTGATCACCTTTCCCTTAACGCAGACCTCTAGGTAAAGGGCCATGATCAAAGAGACTAATGCTGTACCAGGCTCCAAGCTCAAGCTTTGTGCAAAGGCATCACTCTCGTGCGCCGACACTACACTTCCGTCTCAGAGCTCCTAAGCGACCATCTATCCACCACCCTTCTGGTAAACTGCACCGGTCTCGGCTCCCTCAAACTCTCCGACATCAAAGACACGAATCTATACCCATCACGTGGTCAAACACTACTGGTCGCTGAACCCAAAACGCCAATCACCAGAATGTATGAAATGGAACGAGTCAAGTACGACAATGCCATCCTACTTGTCTTCCTCCGCCCCAGACCCGACTATTTTCTGTATATCCAGTTTGACTAATGAACTAAACTAGGTCTTTCCGCTCTCCGAAGCGCATCGATCCCACGACAACCTACGTTTTCCCCCGTCCGCTGGGCGGCGGCGTGATTCTAGGTGGCAGTCGACAGGACAACGACTGGAGTGAAGAGTGGGATGAGCAACTCGGTCAGGATATCATGAAGCGGTGCTGTGAGTTGTGCCCTGAGTTGGGGAAGCCGGAGGATCTGCAGGTTATTGGGCGGAATGTGGGCTTGAGGCGTAAGTATCGACGTGCGAGTCATTTCACGGGGGCTGGCTGACAGTATCTAGCGTCGCGTAAGGGCGGTCCGAGGATTGAGACGGAGATGGGCAAGTGGAAGGTCCCGGTTGTGCATTGCTATGGGCATGCTGGTGCGGGGTATCAGTCTTCGTGGTGAGTACATTGAAGCTCGTCTGTGTCGACAGTACAATACTAATGTTTCTCGCAGGGGCACCGCCGAGCGTGTCCTTGAGCTCGTTCAGAAGACGCTGACGCCCAGCTCAAAGTTATAGTCACTACGCCATTAGCTAGTCCGGACTAAATCTGGCCTCGCTCAACACACTCATCTTTTCATTTCCACACATGCTTAGCTCTCCATCTTCTCCTCTTTCCTCCCCTCATCCCTGCTATTCCACTCCCGATCAAAAACCTGCAAACTCCTCTGTGCAGTAGGCACAACATCCAACGCCTTCACACTAACCCTATCCTTCTGACCCAGCATGAACGCAGCCGCTTCCGCAACATCTGGCGCAACAAGAGGCTCGAAACCCGACATGAAAGTATCGTAGCTCTGCTTTTCGTATCCAACACTGTATGTCTTGTCAGCTCGGAACTCCGTCGCAACACTAAAACGAGGGAGAGATCATACCGTTGTTCATGGAAGTTCGTCGCTACAACGCCGGGCCGTAACGCGAGGACTTTGATATCAGTGCCCACTAACTCCGTTCTCAGCACGTTGGTGAAAGCCTCCTGGCACGCCTTGCTAGCATGGTAGACAGCCTCGCCTGGGAAAGGTGGAACCTCTAGCCCCGTTGTGCTGGTGACGTTTAGAATCGTCCCCTTGCCACGCTCCTTCATCTTTCCCTCGTTCAAAACAGTATAAGCAGCAAACATGTATCCATTGATGTTTGTGCTCGTCATTGTGATGATGTCTTGGATCTTGAGGTCAGGGAAGCGTGACGGCGCGCCTATAGCTAGACCAGCATTGTTGATGAGGACATCGATGTGGGAGACTTGCTGGACGATGTTTGAGACGGCGGTGCTGAGGGATGTGTGGTCTTGTACGTCGACGACTGATGTGAAGATCTTCAGGTCTTTGTGTTCTTTTTTGAGTTCGTCGGAGAGGGCCTTTAGCTTGTCGTCTGAGCGTGCAAAGAGGATGAGTGTTGCGCTTTCAGCGGCTAGTCGACGTGCAATAGCTGCGCCGATGCCCATAGAAGCCCCTGTGATGAGGACGGTTTGGTCTTTGAGTGACATGGTAAGGGGTAGAAGTATGAGGATGAGATGGACGGATGAATTGAGATAATACTTCACTGGATGTGAAACCTCGGGACTGTTTTGTTACGACTGACCGTGAGAAGACGATGAGAATGACAATGATTACACAGGGAGTACATGTGCGGAGGATGAACATGCTAGTAGGCTTTCGGTGGAGCAAGAATGACGTCATCAGCATCGCATTTGTCATCTATGAATGGCGTCCGATGTGTATAATACGTTGCATTGGGTGTGTAGTAAATATAGTCCATAAGGGTATCTCTGTAAACAATCATTCTGATAGCGTGAGTCATGTAGCAAATCAAAGGTCTCAGGCGTTGACTTACAATTCGTGTCTGGCATTGCCATCGCAGCGCGAGTCCGTGTCTTGTGAGCAGTGCGACTCCCAGTCGCTCATGTTTATGAGCTTTAGACTTGAAATAGTCGAGGCATGTCGAAGAGTGCTGCTGGCTGTTCGATCGAAACCATCAACCATCCCACCTCTGCGCCTCTTTGTTGTAACCGATGAGCTTGAGGTCGATGTTCAGGGTCTTGAGCATCATGTCCATCGTGAACGACTGCATCAACGTTAGTATCATAACGTACGTGTACATCTTCGCGCACTCACATCATCGTCTGCTCCCTTGAACGTCTCCTTCTCCTCCTCTCCCTTGTCCCTTTCCGAATCCATCTCGGCGTAGCGATCATACGCCTCTTCAGAGACCTCACCACTCTCTTTCGCCTCCTCCATCTTCTCACGTTCCGCCTCCATCTCTTCTTTATCCCATTGCATCTGCCGTTCCTTGGATTCTTTTTCACGTTCCTTCCATGCGCCTACCCCGCCCATTCTGTTAACCCTGTCTCTAGTGCTACCAAACAGCTCTTCCGCCGCCGCACGACTTGCTGTACGCCATTTGTCGACCAGTACGACCAGGTCGTCATCCTTTGTAGACGTTGCCAGGGTCTGAGCTTGTGTAAGCATCTGGATCTCATTGCGGATTTGCATGATCTCGCGTGCGACCGAGGGTTTCGACGGTGCCTTCTTCGACGCGACACGTGACGGGGTAGATAGGTTCGGACGTGAGACGAGAGGTTTCGAGACACGTGGTGTCACCTTAGACGTTGCTGGCGTTTTGGGGGGTTGCATAGAGGCGGTACAGGTGGCCGCTTGCTGTGCGCCATTGCCTGCAGGGGCGGTACTTCTAGCAGGAGCGATGGTTGTCCTAGGTGTATCAAGCGCAGGAGTGTGGACCTCAGGCGGATCTGAGGATGGCGGGTCGTCGCCTATGCTGGGCTTCAACGGTGTGCGGAACGGCGATTTGAACGGCTTCTGGAGCGTTTTCGTGGCTTCGTTCAGCCGGCGACGTTTCGCTTGCGGGGTCGACATCTTCGCGGGTGTTTGGGCATTGGTGTGGGTGGTCAATTCTCGAAGTGGGGGGGGGGGGGGGGGGAGGGGGTGGTGAGTGTCTTGAGACTGGCGATGTCATCTGTCGCTTCTGATTGCGGATGGTCTGACGCGTCGCGCTAGAGCCTCGTCATCACGTGTCCATCAGGGTGTCTTTTCTAGGAACTGACGACCAGCAACTCTATCAAATCAGGTAGGTACGCAACTCATACGCGTTTTATGATAGACTCAATTTTTGGGACGAACGAACGTTGTATTGTGATAAGCACCATGATCTAAGCATATACATAGCACAGCGGCCCCGAGGTAGTAGAGAAGAACTCCTTGCTCGCGATGTGGTTCTGACCTGGCGGTGCCACCACATCCAACTCCTGCTGATCTGTCGGTTTACCTTTGGGACTGTTGGGTATCGACCAATGGGTGCCGCCTTCGTACATGCTTGTGCGAGACTTGACCTCCTTCTCTTGATACATGGCCCACATCCACCAGTGCCTGTCCAGCTGACCATGATGCAACCAGAAGGCTGGCTCCGCAGGGCTCACATAGACATCGCCTCCAGGATCACCCCAGATAGAGAAGTGACCGCCAATGTGCAACGCTGAAAGGCTGTTCGTCGCGTTGGTCTGGAGTGTGTCCTGGAAGGTACCAATGGCCTTATTGGTGGTGATATGGAATAGAAGATCTTGAGGCCGGAGGTAGCGCTCGGTGAAGAAGTTGCTTACGTCGCGACGGTGGCAACGTGGATTGTCACCATAGCCATCGGCGCGTGGGTTTGGTGGGATGTTGAGTTTAGGGTCCATGGTGGGCGCGAGGGGACCAAGACGAATGGTCAAATTGGTGAAAGGACCTTTACTGATACAGCCTCCTCCGGGTCCACCAGGAAGCGTCTCACCCGGCCATAGACTCATGCCTGCATGCGGTCCGATTGGATCACCATTCCCACCCATGCTCCATTCGTCGCCGTTGAAGATGGGGCTGTTAACGAGATCGGTGTACTTGGCCCAGTTCCAGTAGGGTCTGTGATGAGTAGGCGAGGTTAGTGTATGCTTTACACAAGATCTAAAGAAGAATACTCACTGGTAGCCTTTGTAGCCACATTCCGTGCGAAGCGCTGTTTCGTAAGCCCATATGTAGTAACGGTGCCAGTGCATGAAGTTTGCGGTGGCGTGAACCGTCGGTGTCATGTTCATATGCACCACAACAAAGTCTTCATAGCGAGACTTTGCTCCAGGATATTGACCAGCAGGAAGTTTGGAGGGCGCCTTGAGCATGCAATTGACGGCCGTGGTGTATGCTTTCCGTTCCTCTTTCGTGAGGTCGCCGCTATCGTGTGTTAGCATCATGACCGTGGCAGTGCCCAAATTTACTTACAACTCTTTGCGTACAGCAACAGTGTCCTTGTTACATGTCGCAGGCCTCGTCAGACCGTCTGACAGCGTCCCATCCAGTACCTTGTATGCATTTGCGAGAGCTTGCTTCTGGACGCCGTCGAGGGTAAGCGTGTCTTGCCTCTGAGTAAAAGGAGATGCTGAAGCGCTAGAGAACAGAGACAGAGATGCCACAAGGGCCTTGACAACCGCAATGCCTGCCATCGATTGATTTCTGGCGATTCAGCTAAGTGCGGATCTCAATGCTTTTATGTCGAGCACCATGATCAGCCTCCTTCTCCAATGCAGGCCAACATCAACCGTGCCATACTACTGCATGTGCTGGGTCATTTATTTAGAGGGTTGCCCGACGTGGGGCGAAGTTCTACAAAGCTCTGCTGTAATGAACACCCTTGGCATGCAACACACGTACCGACGAAATACTGCTGTGCAAGGGTGTTCCAATATCATGACTATCTCAACGAACAGCCATTCCTGTTCATGGGGTCTGCAGCATGCCATTCATGGTGGCCACGAGTGGTCACAGAGTCCATACTTTTGATGTCCAAGACCTGAGCTGCATCTGACCGCGTTGATGAGCGGCAGTCAACTGGAAGCGGTCAGCATCCTTGTATGCAATGTAAGGCGCCTGGTCAGGACTGTGAAGTCAACTCCGATTTACTTTGAGATCGAGCTTTCCCCGTAATAAGCTCTAAAGGTTGTTTCTGTTGTGCGATGGCGAAGACCCTCGTGATACCTCGTCTCTTAGGTTGAAAGTGTCGAAAGCTACAAACAGGTTCAGACCAAGCGCCCGAAGCTCTTGATGTTCGTGGTCAGCGTACAAGTATGTGCCATTGGCAACAGGAAGATCGTCGTTGCCGTTATTCATCCCTTGCAAGCCAGATAGTCCCAACCGGACAATATGGCGTATGTAATACCGGCTATGATACCCCTGGTGTTCGGTAGGATTCTGCCGGGCGCAAGGTGTGTTTGCCAAGCTTGTACATGTTTCGATGAAACTGTAGGACATCAACATTGATTACTACTCAGTACACCTGAGGTGGTGGTATTCGTCAGCTGCGCCACGTAATTCTGCATCGAGGCATTCGCAAGGAGATGCGCGATACCTCATATAATGCACAGCGCGGCAGACTCTCCGGTAGTGTTCGCGTGTATGGAGGCGCATGGCGCTTGCTGAAAATGCATGCCGACGGAGGCTTCCATCAACTTCGCGCCATGCGTAAGAAGCCGGCCATTTATCTTCTCGTGAAAACTGGTGATGCTTAAGTAGATCAGCTTGGGAGAGCTTCGGCGACGTCCTTGGCGTCCAATTCGATTGATTGAAGGATCAGGATCCCTGGCGGTGCGTCGCCTTCGAACGAAAAGCACATCGAAGTAGATGGTAGATGGGGCGTATGCTTACAACCGGACGGAACACGGCATATGCCGAGGCCTGTCCTTGCTAGATTCAGATACTGTTGAACAAGTGTGGCGTGCGCTGTTGGATCGGGCTGCGAGCAAACCCAAGCAGAGCGGCGGAGCGGCGGAGCGAACGACGCAAATGGAACCCAATAGAGAGCATACTTTCGTGGCTTGAGGAGACGACTGACGATGCAATGACTGTTGGCGATCATTCCGATCTGCAGATGAGGGCAGCTCACACAGCTTGGACGGTGCGACATGTGGGACATGTTTCGGCTGTCAAGCGTGATGAAGAGGGGTAGAAACGACGAAGAACGGCGTTGTGAGAGCGGAAAGCTCTGCCGCACATCGATGCGTCACAAAATGATGCGCCCAAAGCATGCTAGGTGCTGCTGCCGTCGTTTATGATGTTTGCGGACGTGGTGAAACTGCGCTGTTACTTTCCCAGCCCTAAAGGCAAATACCAAAACATCAACCCCAGCAATTGCATTCTGCGTACGACAGACACTACAATGGACGATAAAGCCAAGGCATTCCTGGCTAATGTGGAAGGCGGAATCGTGCCAGTAACATGTCACGATGATGTCTTGCGAATCGCATACATTTATATCGATGAGGGGCTGTGGGACAGCCAGGGCGTATATGATGTTGTGGAGAAGCTGCACGCGCATGGCTGGTCTTTTGGTGAGGACGAGCTCCGCTTCAATCGGTAAGCTACATCCTCATATGAGAATCCCTCATACCGATGTACCCAGCACCTGCACGTGTGTGACTAAGATAAAACAGTACCTTGGATATATTTTATCTCGCCCAGATCGCAGCAGCCTACTACCGCTGGACCGACCAACTAAATGGAGACGACCCTCTCACCTTCTCAGACTTCGACGCCTTCTACACTGCGCACCATGACCTCTTGAGTCCCACAGCCTGGCGCTCCTACTACTCCACCGCATTCCTTACCCAACCCACCACAGCACGCTTCTACCGCATGCCCGACCTCCAGGATCTTCCGGACTCGTCCTCCCCACTGTGTCTGCCGCGTGACAATCCGGTATCCAAACACGTCCTAAAGCTCCCCCGCTGGGCTTATACTGTGGGGCGGACTTGCCACAGGCAACCGTTCCTTCCATTTGACACGATTACTGAAATAGCCCTCCGCACGCTTGACACAGCCTTGACACGCCTACACGCGGCCTACCCCAGCACACCCCCCTTTTCAGAACCACATGCGCGCTTCTGGCTAGACGAGTACTACAAACCTCCCATCGCAGAATCGAAACAAGAAGCGTTGTCCACGAACACCAACACCCAGCTGGAGGGAGAGGAGAAGATCCCTTCATCTTCGAGCCCTACATCTGACCCATCGCCTCGCAAGGACAACCGCGAAGCATGGGGGCCCCATCACTTTGGGCTCAATGTCGCGTCGGGATTGTATGATATACACAGTTTGGAAGCACAGTACCTCGCACAGGTTTCTTCGGGTAAGGTTGTCGAACCAGAACCTAGCAAGCCAGTGTTTTTCTGGTGTGGGATACCGGATGGAGGGACTGCAGATCAAGCGTTGCAGAGGGGGTGGCAGGAAGAGATTGGGAGTGAGGAGGAGGTCGAGTTCCTAGCCGCTGTTGCGATGGAGGAGACAGCCGGACTAGGAGCTGGAGCAATCAAGGTGGATGAGTTGGACTGTTCAATCCGGTCACATATCCTACTTGCGGTCATGCAGGCTGCGTTGGTAGAGAACATGCAAGAGAGAGAGCATTTCTTGGGGGAGCTGGAGAGGCGGATGGTACAAAAGGGGAGGATTGGCGAGGAAAGAGCAGGGAGATGGGTTAGGCAGGCCTTGGAAATTATGGTGCCTTATGTACGCGTGTGGCAGGGCGAATGGCCAGGTGCAGAGAAGAGAGGGGAGATGCTGCGCCGGATCTTGGTGGAGAATCCACTGCTCTTTGCACGCTGGAAGTTGTCGCCTGTTTTAAGGCAGTTCGCTTTTGACGACGCAAAAGTTGACTGTCTCGGCTGCCAAGCGGCGTACTGTTAACTACTGTCGAGATCCCTTCACCCGGATAGTAGACAACTGTTGGCATACCCTACTGGTGAATGTAGTCGACAATCGTGTAGTATCTACTGCCTAACACGGGCCGATACCTGGGTGGGCTCAAAGCAGAACTTGTGTCGCAGAACCGTGAATCTTGCTAATGATCAAAGCTGCTTTTGAACGGCTTTTGGTATCCGTAGTCGACCTATCCAGACGCGATTGACTGTAAGCTGTCGTGGAATTCCACCGTCGCGGTTTACCACGCTGCGATGCCGCTTACATGTTTGATTGGAATTCCCAGAATAAATAGAGTGCGCCTTTGACGATAGCCCCCCACAAAACTGACGTTGTATCCAAAGGAACAACGGCTAATGCGACAGCCGCTGGGTGCTGCTGCTGCCGTCATTTATGATGCTTGCGGACGTAGTGAAACTGCGCAGCCGTTGGGTCCCCTGATAGCGTTGGGCGCCATGCCGGATGCGGGCTTAATTGGCAGCCATGGAGGTAACGTGAAGACGCGAGGACGCGTCGAGGGGCGCTTTTCTTTGTGCGTGCCTGGCCAGCTCCACCGACGCGACCCATCGCGTCCGAGGTTCATTGATCAGCGACGCATAATTTCACGGCATCAGGGACCGTGTCATGGTCGCTGACATCGCCTTTGCCAGCCACGAATCCTGTCATTGCGCGGAACCGGATCGCAGCCTCGCGCTACGCCTCTCTCCCACCATCGGTCCTTCAACACGACATTTGCCCCTCAGGGGAACGCCAAACGGCCTCTAGATGGGGCCTCCGGTGGACGGCCGCAATTCGTTGATTCGCGGATGCAAGCGATGAGCCGACGCTGGCTGTTGCACCGCGGCGGCGTCGATTGCTTTTCGCAAAGTTTCTTGGGTGCCTGGCCAAAGCTTCAACCCTTCAGGGAGCCCTGCGCAAAGAACGCGACCAGTCATCTCATCACTCTATCGTGCCGTGCGAATGCTCGTCGCATGCCTCAAGCAAAAAGCACGGCTTGAGACATTGGAAGTGTCGGTCCTCAGGTCCTGCTAACATGTCCTGAGCGGGCTCAGTTGTTTGCGGTAGAGGAACACGCCATGCCACCGGCGCACAACTAGCGCCATCAGCCTTCTTTGTTCCGCCCTTGTTTCACAACCTTGCACAAGTGTTACTTGGTCCAGGACCGGGGGCTCAGCCGTCCTGACTCTTAGCTCTGGAAGAGGCAAAGTGGAACATGTGATATCGCGTTTACGCGTTAGGTCCATTTACGCGTCCAATCGCGTCGCAATTCACCCTCACCCTGGCCGAGGGCCGGAGAGTGGCCTCCTGTGAGGAGTCAGGTATATATACACGGCTGCAGTCGCCTAGTACTTGCGTGCTATCGTCTTATTTGCCCTACGACGTTTCTGCCTAAGGATCTTTCGGAGTCGTCTGCTTTGCCTACTTGTACTCGTACGCTTGCTGCCTACTCACTGCACCTATAAGTATCAGCGATACCTCTTCGCACCGAACCCATCCATCGTAAACACAGCATCTCAGCATCGCATCATCATGTTCTCATCAAACCGCACGCGCCATCAAGAGGGCAGCTTCTCGAAACATCGCGCATCCAAGTCCAAATCACACAAGAAGAACCCCTCCTTCAGAGACTCACCGAGGAGAGTAGAACGACTAGCACAGCATGCCCAGGCATCATCACCACAATCGAACCAAACTTCTCCAACACTGGGAAGGTGAGTTTGCTCTTTTACGATGAAAGCCGAAGAAACTTTACTGA